ATATCACTCCCCTCCAACTTGCAGGATTCCATTTTGGAAAAGCAATTTTTTCCCACTTTGTCAGAAGCTAAGGAATATATAGCCAAGTCAAAAGGACAAAAACTCAAATCCAAAGAGGGATCTATTATTTCTCAGAACTTGCCTATTCATAAAGGATCTTTGGATGATTGTCTTCACACTCACTCCACTCCTTTGGGATTAGGGCCTAACTTTGAGGGTTTTATCTCTCCCTGTTCTTCTGACAAAGACTCCTGGGATTTTGGCAGACACTCAGATGATGGAGAAAAAGTAGAACTGATGGACAAATTAGATATTGAGCCTGCCTTCTTCAAAACCCCTTTACCATGCTCCATTCCTCTTTCTATTCTCTGTGCAAGGAAGAAGAAATACTTTGATGTTACTAGAACTATTTTTACAAGAAGTAAGAAGGGACACAAAGACTTTTCTTTCCTTAGTCTCAAATGATAGTGCTCTTTTGGAATGTCTGTGGAGTTAGATCCTCTCTCAAAAGGATTAAAAATCTTAACAAATTGTACAGAACAAACTTCTTGGCTGTTATTGAACCTATTGTCTCCAATGATCAATTGGATAGCTATAGAATTAAACTAGGTTTCTCTCAGGCTCATTCCTCCTCAAATAACAAGATTTGGGTTTTTTGGCACATGGATCACCTCAATCTTATTTCTATTCTGGACAAGGACCAACATCTTACTTGTCATTTTAGAAACTTGGTTTTGCACAAAGATACCATTATTACATCTGTCTATGGGCAACACACTGGAAGAGAAATAAAAACCCTATGGAACAACCTCTGCTCTATGATTCCCAGCCATGAATGGATTGTGGGTGGGGATTTCAACGCTGTGGCTAATCTCTCTGAACACTCTGGAAGAATATCACCCCTACAATCAGACATGGATGACCTCAATGACTGCCTTGAAAATTGTGGGCTTATCAACCCTCGGCTGATTGGCAACTTATTTACCTGGTCAGGTAATAGAAGCAGAGGTAGAGTTCAAAGGAGATTAGATAGAGCAGTAGTTAATGGCACTTTGATGAACAATTATGATGACATCACTGTTACTCACCTCAGCTCCACTACATCTGATCACAAGCCTATCCTCCTCCAATGTCTTCAAAATCAGAGTTATGGTCCCAAACCTTTCAGATTCCAAAACATGTGGATGAATCACAATAATTTTCTACAAGTTATTTCTGATTTTTGGAAATCTAGGTCCTATTTGGGAGGCATACATGGGCTAGATTCTAAACTTAAAGGACTGAAAGCTGTGCTTAAAGAGTGGAATCTGAAATCCTTTGGTAATATTCAGGAGAAAATACAAGATGCAGAAAGGTTGGCAACTTCTGCCCAGGAATGCTTTGAAGCTGACCAATCTGATTTCAACAGGGCCAACTATAATAAGGCTAAAGCTGAGCTCATTATGGCTATTGACAATGAGTTCAACTTCTGGAAACAGAAAGCTAACTTAAAGTGGATAGAGGAGGGTGACTCTAACACTAAATTCTTTCATGCCTATGTCAAAGGAAGAAGAACCAAGTCCATGATCAGAGTTATTGAAGATTCTAATGGTAAACCTATTACCAATATTGAAGTGATTAAAAAGATGGCCATTGAGCACTTTTTCAATCAATTCAATAACAGAAAGTCAGTCTCAATGTCCCCTATTCTGGCCTACATTAACCCTACCATTACAGAGGAAGACAATAACCTTCTCACAATGATTCCTAGTGATGAAGAGATTAAAAATACAGTTTGGAGCCTCAGCCCAGATAGTGCACCAGGGCCTGATGGGTACAATGGCCACTTCTTTAAGTTTTGCTGGGAAATCATTCATAAGGATGTCATTAGTGCAACCCGGGAATTCTTCCTTGGGGTCCCTGTCCGTATCAGCTATGGTAGCACTTTCATCAGTCTTATTCCCAAAATTAATGATCCAAAAAACTTTTGTGATTATAGGCCTATCTCTCTTTCAACTTTTATGAGCAAGATCAACACTAAGATCCTGGCCACTAGACTCCAAAAAATTCTTCATAAGGTGGTTTCAGTTGAACAAACAGGATTTCAAACTCTTAAAGGGGTTAAGGAACAAATCTTACTCATTGAAGAAATGGTACACAGGATTGACAACAACACCAGGAGTGGCAACTTGGTGATCAAACTAGACATGGCTAAGGCTTTTGATAATATGGAATGGGAGTATATCAGTAATATGCTTAGACAAATGGGGTTCTCTGCATTTGTCACTACCCTTCTTTTAGCAAATCTTGAAGCTTCTCAACTCTCAATCTTAATAAATGGGAGTCCATGTGGTTTTTTCAAGATGATGAGGGGTGTTAAACAGGGTGACCCCTTATCCCCCCTTCTGTTTATTCTTGCAAGTGAGGGCCTTAGCAGAATGTTAAAGAAAACCATGGAGTCAGGCTACATTTCTCCTTTCAACACTGGTAGGAACATATTAATTAGCCACTTGGCTTTTGCTGATGACATTATTATCTTCAGTAAAGGGGATGGTTGTTAGAATAAAGGCCCAACGCTAGAGGGGGGGTGAATAGCGTTTAAAAACAAAATCGCAGGAAATTAAAACGAGAGCGTTAAAGTAAAGAGCGTAAAGAAGGAGCACACCGGATTTTATCCTGGTTCACCACAACGTGTGGCTAATCCAGCCCCCCGAGAGACTCTCTCGAGCTACACTAACTCCGTTAAGCTTAAGGGTGCTTAACAAACCGATACAACTTGAGAACCCGAGTCACACGAGCCTCAACACCTTTGCTCGGAGATACCGCACTCCAAGACTTCTCACGAAGGAACAAGAAACTTCCTCCGAGTTTACAACAAGGGAACAAACTCCCTTAAAGTGTATGAAAACACTTAAACACTCAGGAATGAAACTCTCACAAAGAGTAGATAAGAGTGAACTAGTAAACGCTCAAGAACACGACAATTTCTTCAAGAATTGGCTCTCAAATAGCTAAGAAAAGTAGAAATGCTTATGCAATGAATGAGTATTGAAAATGTTGAAGAATTGTGTGTAAAATGAGAGGATTTGGGTG